CTTTCCCTTCCTGCCCAAGGTGGATACGAGCGTTATTGCATTCACATTCAGGAAGAGCCCCAAAGGGGATGCTGCTCCCAACTCCACTTTTTGGGACCTGCTGCTTTCCCAGCCACCCGCGCCATGTCCACTTGGTCCTGCCCCACGTCCTGACCTTGCTGGGCTGCTGGAGCAGGGAACTAATTTGAGGAATGTTGCTCAGGAGAGGAGCGAAGACACAGGCATTTTGCTGTGCAGATGCTGACAGCTGCTTCCTGGGGCCAGGGAGCAGGCAGGGACACCCGCCATGTCCTGGGACACCCACCACATCCCAGCCCTGCTTACTGGACTCCACCGGCCAGCCCGGTCCCCTTGTAGGAGAGGGTCAGGGATGAGATTTTGGGGTGAGCTCTCCCTCTTCAAATAGTGGCTATTGCTCAACTCCAGGAGCAGCCCCTGGGGGCTGTGGGATGTTTCTGCCTCTTTCGGATATGCTTGTGCTCATGGGCATCTCCATCCAGCCCTTCTCTTCTTGGCATCACCTGCCCAGCTCCACTCTGCTGCCCAGCTCACACGGTTCAGGCTCTGCCCCTCCTGCCGTGGGTAAGGACCCCTCTTCCTCCCCACCCTTTCCCAGCAGCAAAACCCCGTGGCAATTTTCAGCTGCAGCTGATGGGAGCAAACCCACATTGGCCTTCATTTCCCACCACACAGAGCATCCTTTAAAAATAGCTATTTATAAACCCCAATTAAAAGTCAGGGGGGCTGAGGGATCGCTCAGGGAGCAGGAGGTGATGGCTTCACAGGCATTGCCTAAAGCTTAGTGGAACCCTTTGTTTATTTTCAATTTTATCTTGATTGCGTCCTTTGGAAATCCCCCAGCAGCAAACGCTTCCTAGCTCTTCCTGCTCCCCGCTTGCAGGATCTGTCCCAAGACTTTCAGAGGAGCAGGATGAGGCCTTTGCCCAGCACAGCCGACCCTGTTCCTAGTTCTGCTGTACAACCCAAGTGCGATCCTGGCTCCGTAAAAGAGGTACTGCAGAGCTCGGTGGTTATGGTCGCTCCCTCACTTGGGTCAGAAGTGGCCGGTTCACGAGTGAAATGTTATTTTGTCCTGGCCAGCGGGGCCAAGGGAAGTGGCTTGTCCTTGATGGAGACCCCAGATCCTGGGCTCTCGGTCAATAGAGGTCTGGAAGAAAAAAGCAGGAGCTCTGCTGAACGATGACTTTGGGAGCCGGTTCCTTTGAGAAGGGCTTTCGGGTTGGCGGAGCTGCTCGCTGCTGCTCTGAAGATGAACAGCCCCTGGAAGAGGTAATTAGGGTGATCCTATCCTGATCTCCTCAGCTGTGGCAACGAGTCACAAGTCCTTCACAAGCAGCCACTCCAAGCTCATTTTGCATTAATTAGGCTGTTTACAAAACACTGTAAATTGCAGTAATGAACACACTGTTCTTTGGTTTCCTTTAATTATCTGTTTGCATGATGAATGAGCTGGCCCCCTCTTCAGCTCTCCTTTCCGGCAGAAGGGCCACGCAGCGGAGTATGGCTTTGTATGGGATCTGCCATGTGAGGTGGGCAGAGAGCTTGGGAGAGGAGAAGAGAAGGGAATGGAGAAGGAGGAGCAGGAGCAGGAGAGGAGGAAAAGGAGGAGAGGGAGCTGCAATCCCAGAGATCTGCCTGACTGCAAGGGAGGGGGCTCTTTCCCCAGGACCCCACCACGTTTCAGTGGGGTTTGAGCAGCTGTTTCACCCTGGGCTCAGAGCCGGGCTCTCAGACTTTGATTTTTCCATAGGAAGCAGCACAGAAACCTTTCAAAGCATGTAATCCTCCCTGGCTCGGCGATGGGGCTGCCTGGAAAGGCAGAGGAGGAGCGGCGGCATTTCTTGCCCCCTGCATACCTTCCTCTTTCTTTCCCTTTTGACTTGGCGGATGAATTCCAGAGATGTTAATCCGCTCTCAACCCCTCGGTGAAGAATAAAACGTCCTCTCTGTGTGGGAGGAAGGAATTCATTCAAAGTAATTGCGGGAAAGAGCGGGGAGCTGGGGGCGCGCATGAGGCTGTGCCGAGGGTAGGGTGAGCATCCTCCGCCGCTCAGTGGTCCCCAAAGGGGAGGGAGGGACAGGCGGGGGGATGGGGCTATCCAAGGTGGCACAATCCTCGCATTCACGGCCGGAGGCTTCAGCCTCTGCTCTGGCTGTAAAAATGCCAATCACGTGGTCTGTGGGCCAGGTCTTGGCGGCAGTGGCGGACACAGGGAGCGAGTGGGGGGCAAAACGGCCCCATTCAGCAGTTTTGGGGTGTTGTTGCCTATAAAGGGGAGGGAAGTGCCGTCCCGCCGAGCCGGGGTGACAGGAGCTGTGGGGTCCGACCCATCCCAGGGGCGCGTAGAGATGGGGCAGGAGGGACAGAGGGAGGAAAGGGTCTGAGCTCGAGCTGGGTCAGCCCATGAGGGTTCGTGGAGGTGAACGTGGAGTGAGAGGCGAGGTGAGGCGAGGTGGCCGGGATGGGCCAGGTGCTGTTCTGCGTGCTGGGAGGTCAGTGTGGCCGTGGACAGGGTTCACACGGGGTCCCAGGGGCCATGTGGGGCAGTGCAGGCTTTGCCTCCTGCCCTGACCTTTGCCTCTTCTCTCTGCAGAGCTCCTGGGGTCTGCCAAGCGCCTGAACGTGAACTACCAGGATGCGGACGGGTGAGTGCTCCCTGGGCAGGGTGCTGGGTGCTGCTGCCACCAGCATGGGTGGGCTTGCTCTACCCAATATCCAGGTGATTCTGCAGCTCTGGGTATCGTAAAGCTTTCGAGGGTAGCTGCTGAGCTCCGGAGAACACAACAGCATCCCGAGAGGGTGCCACATCCCAAACTCAGGGCAAGCCCTGCAGAGGCAGACCCAACACCTGCCTGGATCTGAGCTGAGGGCTGTGCTCAATCCATCCTGCAAAATCCTTCGTAAAGCTCTTCTGTGTCCCCCTCCATAGGGCTGGGGGTGAAAAGGGATCGCAGCGTGTCCATCCAGTGCCCGGTGTCCTGAGTGCTGGTTGAAACACGGAGGAGCACCTAGCCGGCCACGGTGCCTGCACATGCTTGTGTCTATGTTTAATATCCCAAGAGCAAAATCCCTTCGTTTGGAGGGGGGCTTAGAGAAAGAAAAGATGAGGTTGCCAAGTGACCACAGCATATTTGTGTAGCTCATCACTTCCAAAATCCAAGCACTTAATAAGCTGGGTACTGAGAGTTAAAGAAACCACAAAGGCCCATAAAATAAATAGGCATGTTATTCTTATTGAATTAACTCTGACCCTTGAGTTATTAGCATTGTTTTATGTACTGTTGTTGTTGTACCTAATTTCTACATGTTTTCTTTTCGAGGACTTTGTAGGAGGAGGTGTCCGTGATGAGTCCTAACAGGCCAGTGGGGGGTTGAAAATGTGCAGGATGGCTCTGTCTTAAAATAATACTGTGCAGATGGAGCTTAATAGAAAAAAAATGTAATAATAGAAGCAATGATCTGATTCTGATAAGGCACAGGGCTTGTGCTCGGGCAGCTCCAGGAGGGCTGCTGATGGGAACGTGGGTAAAGGGTCCTCATCAGAGGCCCATGTGCGGGGTATTAACAGTGCAAGCAGCACGTTGGGTTTTGCTGGGGCACAGGAAGGGGATCGTGGGGAGGTGAGACCTGTGCATGGGGACAGCAGTGTGCACCCCATGGGAGAGCCATGCCGCTGGTGGTGTCCTCAGCATCACCTTGCTTGTGACTTGGAGATGATGGGGCAGGCGAGCGTGCGTTTGTGCAGCCACGTCCAGGGCAGAGCTGGCCCCGCAGGGATCCCTGCAGGGTTGGCCCAGGGGGATTTTGTACCCCTGCATTCTTGCTTCGAGGCAGAGGTTTTGGCATGAGCTCAGGGACACGGCAGCTGCATTGAAGGAGGGAGCAGTGTCCCTCCTGTGATACCTAGAGACCCTGTGCAGAGATTTGGGAGTGCCCTGGGACCGCAGGTCGGGAGGAGAGCTGTGCGGCTGGGCTGCATCCCCAGCATAGGGCTGGGACACTGCTGAGTCCATCAGAGCCCCAGGCCGGCATCATCTGGAGCTCCCCGCGCCTCTTGGAGCAGCACGCGGGCTAATCCCCGGCAGCATGGGGACCCTTCACTCGGCTGTCGCCCTTCACGTGACAGCACAGGGGGAGCGCCGGGCAGACAGGCCCCTTTCACAGCCCCGAGACACAGGGCTCTTTCATTACCGGCGACCTCCCACACTGTGCTGTGGGCTCCCGGCATCCCTGCTAGCACGGGGAGGGGGCGGCAGGCAGAGGAGGAGCTGCAAGGGCCATGAGGTTGGATGCTGTGGGCAGCGCGGCTTTGGGCTGCCTGGCTGCACTGCAGAGAGGGGAGATGCATCTCTCTCCATCCTGCCTGCTTGCCCCCCACACATCTCGCTGGGGTCTCAGGGGGTGCACAGGGTCCCTGCATCCCTCGCTGAGCCCTGGGGCACGGACAGCATGGAGGGATTTATCTCTGCTTTGC